CAAGTCAAATTCTGCATCCAATACATGAGAATTATGTCATCTGAGAATTTAACTAAACACTGTAACTTCAACTATCCAAAAGTATGGGAGCTGACCTGAAATTACTCAAGTTCATGCCCTGACAGATGTGTTGGATCAGCTCATATGAATCCCAATCAGCAGTGGTCTATGTTTGGAAGACATTAGATAAAAAAAACATTAGCAGAAGGAATGGATAAAAATAAATGAAAGTAGACATGGGATGAGGAATTTTGTTTCCTCCTCTTTTCTTCTTATACTATTTCAAGCTGCTCAAAAAAGAAACAAATCTATAAAGTTTCAGTAAAAGGAATATAAGTGAAAATACTCTTTTCTCTCATATCTTTATTTCATTATCTTTTTATAATCTTGGATTGGGGGAGTAGATTAGCAACAAGGAAGAAGCAGTACTTTTCAGAACCCTTTTTGGCTCACGTTTTATGCACAGTCGAATTCTAAACCAAACGTCTGCTTAACAAAAACAAAACAAAAAGAAGCTTCACTATTCTAAAATAATTTGTTTTCCAATAGCCAAAAACAATTGATTTAAAAATATCCTAGTGTGCAAAACAAAAATCATGCATAAACATAGAAAGCAGAGGATCTTAAGAGAAGTTCACCATAGAAAAAAGTACACCCAGGCTATGTTTTAACTCAGATCAAAGGCCACCTTCACTCTTGTGTAACTCAATGAAGCTATAAGCTATGCCATGCAGGACCACCCAAGACGGACAGGTCATAGCAGAGAGTTCTGGCAAAATGTGATCCACTGGAGAAGGAAATGGCAAACCACTCCAGTATCTTTGCCATGAAAACCCCATGGACAGTACTAAAAGGCAAAAAGACATGATGCTGGAAGATGAGCCCCTCAGGTCGGAAGGTGTCCAATATGCTACTGGGGAAGAGCAGAGGGCTAGTACTAGTAGCGCCAGAAAGAATGAAGCGACTGGGCCAAAGCCGAAAGGACACTCAGCTGTGGATATATCTGGTGGTGAAAGGAAAGTCTGATGCTGTAAAGATTTTTTTTTCTCCATAGGAACCTGGAATGTAAGATCCATGAATCAAGGCAAACTAGACGTAGTCAAAAAAGAGATGACAAGATTGAACATCGACATCTTAGGAATCAGCGAACTAAAATGGACAGGAATGGGGGAATTTAACTCAGATGACCATCAGGTATACTACTGTGGGCAAGAATCCCTCAGAAGAAATGGAGTAGCCTTCATAGTCAATAAAAGAATAGGAAAAGCAATACTGGGATACAATCCCCAAAATGATAGAATGACCTCAATTCAAATTCAAGGCAAACCATTCAATATCACAATAGTCCAAATCTATGCCCCAACCACTGGTGCTGAAGAGGATGAAATTGACCGGTTCTATGAAGCCCTACAGCACCTTATAGAATTAACACCAAAAAATGATGTCCTTATCATCATGGGGGATTGGAATGCTAAGGTAGGAACCCAAAAGATAACCGGAATAATAGGAAAGTTTGGCCTTGGAGTACAAAATGAAGCAGGGCACAGGCTGATAGAATTTTGTCAAGAGAATACGATGGTCATAACAAACACTCTTTTCCAACAACCCAAGAGACAGCTCTACACATGGACATCACCAGACGGTCAACATAGAAATCAGATTGACTATGTGCTCTGCAGCCAAAGATGGAGAAGCTGTATACAGTCAGTAAAAACAAGACCAGGAGCTGACTGTGGCTCCGATCATGAGCTTCTCGTTGCAAAATTTAGGCTTAAATTGAAAAAAGTAGGGAAAAGCACTAGGCCACTCAGGTATGAACTAAATCATATTCCTGATGAATATACAGTAGAGGTGACAAATAGATTTAAGGAATTAGATTTGATAGACAGAGTGCCTGAAGAACTATGGATGGAAGTTCGCAACATTATACAAGAGGTAGCAATTAAAATCATCCCAAAGAAAAAGAAATGCAAGAAAGCAAAATGGCTGTCTGAGGAAGCTTTGCAAATAGCTGAGGAAAGAAGGGAAGCAAAAGGCAACGGAGAAAGAGAAAGATACACCCAATTGAATGCAGAATTCCAGAGAATATCTAGAAGAGATAAGAATGCCTTCTTAAATGAACAGTGCAAAGAAATAGAAGAAAACAACAGAATAGGGAGGACCAGAGATCTCTTCAAGAAAATTGGAGATATGAAGGGAACGTTTCATGCAAAGATGGGCATGATAAAGGATCAAAATGGCAGGGACCTAACAGAGGCAGAAGAGATTAAGAAGAGATGGCAAAACTACACAGAAGAACTATACAAGAATGAGCTTAACGTCCCAGATAACCACAATGAGATGGTCACTGACCTCGAAACCAGACATCCTAGAATGTGAAGTGAAATGGGCCTTAGAAAATCTGAGCAACAACAAAGCTAGTGGAGGTGACAGTATTCCAGCTGAGCTATTCAAAATCTTAAAAGACGATGCAGTAAAAGTGCTACACTCAATTTGCCAGCAAATTTGGAAAACTCAACAGTGGCCACAGGATTGGAAAAGGTCAGTTTACATTCCAATTCCAAAGAAAGGCAATGCCAAAGAATGTTCAAACTATCGCACCATTGCACTCATTTCACATGCTAGTAAAGTTATGCTTAAAATCCTACAAGCTAGACTCCAGCAGTATGTGGATCGAGAACTACCAGAAGTACAGGCAGGATTTCGAAGAGGCAGAGGAACTAGAGATCAAATTGCCAACATACGCTGGATCATGGAGAAAGCTAGGGAGTTCCAGAAAAACATCTACTTCTGCTTCATTGACTATGCTAAAGCCTTGTGTGGATCACAACAAATTGTGGCAAGTCTTAAAATCTTATTGCATTCTTTGACCAAGTGACAAAATTAGTGGATCAGAGGAATGCTGTGGACATAATTTACTTGGACTTCAGTAAGGCATTTGATAAAGTAGATCACAACCTACTACTTGATAAGATACAAAAATGTGGGGTAGACAGAATCACCACCAGATAGATCCGTAGCTGACTGACCGGCCATACTCAGCGAGTGGTCCTCAATGGAACTGCATCTATATGGAGGGAAGTGTGTAGTGGGGTGCCCCAGGGCTCTGTTCTGGGCCCAGTACTCTTCAACATCTTCATCAACGATTTGGATGAAGGGATAGATGGGGAACTCATCAAATTTGCAGACGACACCAAGCTGGCAGGAATAGCCAACACTCCAGAAGACAGGCTTCAGATACAGAAGGATCTGGACAGACTTGAACACTGGGCACTAACTAACAAATGAAACCGACAATGGTGAAAAAAGCCAAGGTTCTACATTTCGGCAGAAAAACCAAATGCACAGTACAGCATAGGTGGCACAGCATGCTCAATAGTAGTAACTGTGAGAGGGATCAGGAGTCCTAGTAGACAATCACCTACATATGAGCCAGCAGTGTGCTGCAGCTGCCAAAAAGGCCAACACAGTGCTAGGCTGCATTAACAGAGGGTTAGAATCAAGATCACGTGAAGTGTTAATTACACTCTCTCCCTACACTGTCTTGGTTAAGGCCCAAAGGGGCCAATACTGCCAACAATTTTGGCACCCCCGATGTAAAAACAGATTTTGAGACCTCTAGAAAAGAGTACAGAGGAAGGGCCATACATGATGATTAGGGGACCTGGAGGCTAAAACATATAAAGATACGGCTCGCTAGATATGGGTATGTCTAGTAACGTAAGAGCAAGGACAAGGTGGGACATGATCAGCAGTAGCCAATATCTCAGGGGCTGCACCTATAAAGCAGAGGGAATCAGCTATTCCAAAGGCACCTCAAGGCAGGACAAGACCAAGCGACACGGGTGGAAACTAACAAGGAGAGAAGCAACCTAGAACTAAGGAAAAACCTCCTGACAGTGAGAACAATAATCAGTGGAACAACCTCCCCTCGCCTCCAGAGCACAGTGTAAAGGCAGCTTCCAACACTGGGAGTTTAAGAAGAGACGGCTAGCCATTTGTCCGAAATGGTGTAGGGTTTCCTGCCTGAGCAGGGGGTTGGACTAGATGACCTCCAAGGTCCCTTCCAACTTTACTATTATTATTATTAGATGGGAATACCAAACCATCTGAGAAACTTATATGCGGATCAAGAAGCAACAGTGAGAACTGGACACGGAACCACTGATTGGTTCAAAATTGGAAAAGGAGTCCGGCAAGGCTGTATACTGTCACCCTGCCTATTTAACTTATATGCATAGCACATCATGAGAAAGGCAGGGCTAGATGAAACAAAAGTTGGAATTAAGATTGTCGGGAGAAATATCAACAACCTAAGATATGCAGATGATACCACTCTAATGGCAGAAAGTGAAGAGGAACTAAAGAGCCTCTTGATGCGGGTGAAGAAGGAGAGTGCAAAAGTTGGCTTGAAACTACAAACATTGCCGAAGAAACACCAACATAATCATGGCCACTTTCGGCCCTCCCAATCCTGGCAAATAGATGGGGCACTAGACATGGAGTAGTGCAGATTTTATTTTGTTATGAACTCCAAGCATCACCTCGAATGGGGACGGCCAGCCACAAGAAACAGTAAAAGACGCTTGCTCCTAGGGAGGAAAGCTATGGCAAATCTAGACAGCATCCTAAAAAGCAGAGACATCACCCTGCCAACAAAAGTGCGTATAGTCCAGGCCATGGTTTTCCCAGTTGCAATGTATGGCTGTGAAGGTTGGACCATAAGAAAGGCTGAGCGCCAAAGAATTGAGGCCTTTGAACTATGGTGCTGGAGAATACTCTTGCAAGTCCCTTGGACTGCAAGGCGTTCAAACCGGTCAGTCCTAGAAGAGATCAACCCCGACTGCTCTTTAGAAGGCCAGATCCTGAAGTTGAAACTCAAATACTTTGGCCACCTAATGAGAAGGAAGGACTCACTGGAGGGGCCTAATGCTGGGAAAGATTGAGGGCAATAAAAGAAAGGGACGACAGAGAATGAGATGGCTGGATGGAGTCACTGAAGCAGTAGGTGTGAACTTAAATGGACTTCAGAAGATGGTAGAGGACAGGAAGACCTGGAGGAACGTTGTCCATAGGGTCGCGATGGGTCGGACACAACTTCGCAATTAACAACAACAACTAGTTGCTGAAATGCAACCAAACACTGATTAGGTAATTTCCATTTGCCACAGATAAGCAAAATGGTGGGATTGCCAAATAAATGTGCTAATGTTTAAAAATTATGTAAAAAACAAAAACAAAACTTACATTCAATGAAGCAATTACTGTATTTCCTGTAATTTAAACAATGAAAGCTTCCTACCATATTTTCCTGAAAATAAGATCATTTCTGAAAATAACCCCTAGCTTGATTTTTATGAGTGTGCCTAATATAAGTCCTACCTCAAAAATAAGCCCTAGTTAAGACTCCGTCCATCTAGTTGTATGAGGTGGGGTGAGGCGCACACGTAAAAATCAAACTAGGGCTGGGGTGGTGGGGTGGAGCTGCCCCACGTGCCCCACACCCTCTTACCTCAGGGCCCCCGCAGCCAGGCCTTTCACACCGACACCTACCTCGCCTTGTGGCAGTGGCACCAGCAGCAGCCCTATCCAGCAAGAGCTTGTGTGGCCACTGGCCCACTTTTTCCAGTTGCTGGTGGCCGCTTGTGATAGGAGGCCATATGGTGTGGCATGCTGATGCAGCCGCTTGGGGCAAGCCATGTGGTGTATTGAGCTGGTACCGCCACTGGTGGCAAGAGGCCACATGCTGCAGTGCATCAGTGCTGCCGCTTGCAGCAGGAAACCATGTGGCATGTGGTGCCGTGGCATGCGCGGGATGGCATCAGCACAATGCACCACATGGCCTACTGTGAGTGGTGGCATTGGCGCAATGTGGCTTCTTGCCATGAGCTGGGGCACCGGCACAACATGCCACGTGGCGTCCTGCTCTGAGCTGCTACAAGCAGCCACAGAAATTAGGTGGTGGCGCAACAGGTGTTGGAGCGTGGGAGGTCTGGCTGTGGTGGTCCTGAGGTAAGTGGGTAAGACATCTCCCCAAAATAAGACCCAGTGCCTCTTCTGAAGGCAAAAAAATATAAGACTGGATCTTATTTTCGGGGAAACATGGTACATGAAGTTTTTTTTATAGAAACTGTCCTCACTAATACACACATTTCTTCCTCAAAGGAGAATAGTTGGAAAATAGAGAAATTTAATAAATATTAATACTATTACATTTCTATCTATTTCATCTGATGTGAGAATTTTGTTGAAAGAAATGAAAGTGGATGTATATAACATCATGTTTTTGCCCCTTTATTATAATGGCAGTAAGGGTTGGGTGTGTCAGAAGAAACATAAAGGCTGAATATAAGGGAATAGGTGAAGTGTATATGGAAAATAAGGAGAAGACTGAGAAAGTTGTGGTTAGATGGAATTAATAGGAGTTAAAAAAATCTTTAAAAGAAAAGACATTGTATGAAGCAGTGTATGGAAATGGTGGAAGCAAAGATAGTCACAAAAACAGAAAGTTGTGGAAAGGTATAGTGAATGGTGATGGTGTACACTAATTTTAGATGTGTTTCCATTTTTTTTAAACCTCACATTTTTATTTCTTTGGATTGCTATTTCTCATTCCTTTTCTATACTCTCTGGTATATTACTTATTGCACAAAGGAAAAGTATTTTAATACTGACTACTAACTCTGTTCAGGCCTTATTTAAACTGGAAGGGTTATTACTTTGTTGGCTGATGTCTTTCCAATGACACTGGCTGCCTAAAAAGTTCACTCATTTTATGTAAATGATTTTAGAAGTCATCTTCATTGGGAAAAGCAATACTTTTACATGAGACATTACAGCCCTTACTGAGATGCAAACCAGTGTGATTACTCTTCTACAAGCATTTATACTAAGTGCACAAATGCCTGAAGAGAAGCTATTGCCATTAGAGTGATGCTAGCCAAAATAAAACATGGCAAGTGGTCCAGAATCTTAGTCTTTAAGGCGCTTACAAATGGAAGTATAGATCAAAGTATCACAAAACCTCTTTAACACTCTTCTGAAGAATCAAAATATATGTGCTTGAATATAGTTAATATCCATACATCAGTTTTAATTAGTGTTCATTGTAACAAGTAGAAGCATTTTAGAGACAAACCTGACTATTCCTACTAAATGATTTACTTGGTTTTGCTATGCAAGGTTTCCAAAAATACTTATTCTGAGGGGGAAATTGTCAGCATTTCTTGCTGTAATCCATTTTGTTCAAGGTAAAGTATTTTTCAAGCCAGACTTCTGATGATTTCATGGATACATCTATGTAGTTTTCTTGATAGCAACACAGAAGTAGTTCACCTTTCCTTCAAGGTCTTTCCTTGACTTCCTAGTTTAATCTACAGTCTTGCTATTCCCTGGAGGTTTCCCATTGTAATAGAAATCAAAACCAATTCTCCTTAATTTCTGGACCTAGATAAAGTCAGTCCTGTGTTGCCATCTGCTTAGATAATCAATTTTTATAATTGAGCCATTTATTAGCACCACTTTTAATAATAGAAAAAATATGCCACAACAATATTATCATACATAGTGTTATATATGTTCACTCTGAAGACTATTTTGTTTCCCCAAATGTAGGGATTCTCACAGAAAAAAAACCAAATTTGGAGAGTAAGAATTAGCGCTATACAGTAGAAATCTTTGAAACATCAAGTTGTAATAAAGTGCTAAAAAGTGTTAGGGTTCATTTGCTTCTACAAAGGGAGCATATACTCTTTCTCTTTCATTTGATGTTAACATGAGGTACTGAAATACTATTCACAATGTCTTCGTACTGAGGAGGAGGATCCAAATGATTTGCAAATTCATTTGTCTCTGTGCTTCTTTCACCAGCAACTTCCTCATAGGATGGTGGTGGTTCAAAGTTTGACAACGGGATTGCTAAGAAATCCATAGGTCCCTCTGTGTAGCGTCCACTGCCTTCAAACATTTCTTCTTGGGGAGAATGAAGAATACTGAATGACTGAGGGATGGGATTTCTCCCATCAGGAATGGCTCTGTCACCTGTAACTTCCCTGTTTCTGCTCTGTGTGTACATGGATTGTCCATGTCTTTTTTTTTGGAATAGGCATCTCCATGTGACAAATATAATAAGAACCACCACCAAAAGGCCAATGATTAGAGGAAATGTTAGGTAAAATGGGTACCAGTTCTGTCCTGCCTGATTTCCTCCATAGAGTCCACTGGTGTAGTCTTTCCAAAATTCTGCCTAAAAAAATAAATTGTGGATTATTGTAATCAATTTTTACCTACTGGTGCTATAATTATGGTTGTTTGCCATTAACTTTGATTTTGTATTTAGATTATTGCAGTATGTTTGAATGACAAGTGGAATAGAAGCATTTGAAATAAAAGAAAGCAAAAAAAAAAAAAAAGAACAAAGAAAAATGAGTTCCTTTTTACAAATTAATCTCTAAAAGGAGGAATTTAAATTGGGGATTTCTAGAAGTCCATCTTTTCCATGTTAGAATAAAAATAGCTGTACATTCTGATTACAGAAGATAAAAATAAGCCTACTGAAAGATCATTCTGGGATGATTTAGCAAAAAGGAGCTGAGAGTAAGGATCCTCAGAGTAAGGATCATCTAGGTCCAAACTGTAAAGTTTCATATTTAGTAGTTATTTTCTAGCCTCATTCTTTAAGAAGACAACACAATGCATGCCTTAGCTCTAATGCAGTATCACATATTATATGGAAAAATATTAGATAAATTAAATATGTGAAAAATGTTTTACATTTTTAGTAGGCAACGTACCGTCTTTTCATCATTTTCAAATGCTTCTCTTGCCTCTTCTTTATCACAGCGTTCTTCATAACATTCACGCTCGATGTTTCCTTTTTTAAGTTCTTCCAAAAGTCCATTAGCCCGTGGGTATCTCTTTAAGACAGAATTGGCCTTAGCCTCTGTGAGAAATACTGCAGAAAACAAGGAATTACTAATACTTACAAGTTAAGAAATGTATGTTCAGGATATTAAATCAATATTCTGCAGCATGAAGATGTGCTGTTTGTGTCTACTTGGCAGCAAAGTTAATTCTACAACCAGTTCAGTTAATCAAACTGAATTCATCGTTAAGGATGAGAGTAGGTAGTAAGATTTAAAAGAGCATCAAGTAACATGTTTCAGATATTTCAGATATAAACTCATCCTATCTCTGTAAAGCTTGAATCTATTGGATTATGCAAACATAAAAATTTACTATATTCATAAATATTTGGGGTTGTTTAAATGCTGGAACTAACCACATAGCAATAAGAAAATGATTGAGAACACTTAAAGTCTAATTCCTAAGTGTTAAAATTTAACAGACAATTAGTATACAAACATCCAACAGAGCATGCTCAACTGATGTGTGCTATATTGCTTACTTTAGGCAGGGACAGTAAAGAAAGGCAGCTTTCACAAAACAAAACAGGAAGTATTAGCACCCTATTTGTCCTATATTCAATGATTTTCTCCATGCTGGAGGAGAAATAGTGGCATGTACATAGAACTTGGGGCTGGATAATAAATAACTATAGAAAACTTTGGGAAAAGAACTTATGTGCAGCTACAAATAATTTTCCCTTGATCTGATCTAAAAATGCTTAATTAGTGCCAGATATTGGAGGAGTGGGGGGGAGGGGTTATCGTGATCTACCCATTATGGATAGTTCACAAATTAAATTTAATGTTAAAATAATGATGCAATTCCTATCAGGTTGAATTGTTGGAATGGAGAAACTGATGCGAAGAATCTTACCCTTGAAATACATATAAGCTAGCTAGTTAGGCATGCAAAATAATAATAATAATAATAAATCATCCACAAAGATAAAAAAGTACTTGTACAGCATTACTCATTTTTCAAAGTGAATGTTCAGATAGATAATATGCACTTACCACTATCCATGTTTAATACTTTTCTCTAGAAAGTGCTGTAAAGAAAAGAGAAACAACTTTTGTTAATGGATAAAAAAGTTTTAAATCAAGAAGTAGTGATTATGTGGCACAAATTGAATTACAGGTTAATCTGATAATGCAGATCTTAATATTCTATTCTTAAATCTCATTTAATGTGACTATGTATATAACACCATCATTTCATTTCAAAAATAAAGAAAACCATGCCACGCTTTTGTCAAATCTGTGTTTCACATCTGAAATGACTGATTAATGATTTCCATTAACAGAAAGCCTTTGAGTAGTTCCTGAGTAACAATGCATAAGACCATTTTGAACCAGAACAATCTTATAAAAAGATTGGTGCCCTTAGTTAAAAGAAAAAAACTGAATTGACTGCACTGAATTAACAATTTAACGTGTTAGGAAATGTAAATAAAGTTTATATGAACTATTTCTCATCTGTTTTCAATTGTATGGAATGTTTACCAGACCTCTGGAACACACAGGATGAAATAGTACTGTTGCAGAAAAGATTTGTTAGTTCAGAGGAAAGAGAAAGTGTGAGAAACATAAAATAATCTTGCCTTAATATTATTTGTAAATTGATCTGGAGAATTACTCTGGCAGATTTTACTGGTCTACAAATTTTGGGAAATTATCGACCTTCAAGATAAAGTATGTTAATTCTTACATATTTTGAATAGCTGAATTAGAAAACAGGTGATAAAGGTGCTGGTTGGCTAAAATTTTCAAGATATTTCACAATAAAGATTTATACATAGGCAAGTATATTTGCCTACAAGGGAGGGAGGTGTCTAATGATCATTCTCGTAACTTCTCAACAAAGTACAGTAGAACAATGAAAATGGTACCACATAGAAGTGTATAAATTTATCTTCACTTTGAGACTAAAGATTATTACCTAACTGTAATTTATTGTTGTTTTATTGTAAGATACATTTGTCTTGGTCAGATCTACGCATCATACAGTTACATCTGGTGGATTGTGAAAGTGTCATTGCCTAACATTTCCAAGGAACAGTTGCGTGATATTTTCCCTCAGAAGCCAAGATGCCACAAAACTAGGGTGGATTTTATTTAAATCAAGTCAATTTAAATCACGATTTAAATCACTAGTAAAAAAGCTTGATTTAAATCAACTCGATTTAAATCATAATTTTTAAATAGCAACTATCATCTCTGTCCCGCAGTGGCTCCTCCTCTAACCTGCTGTTGACTCACCAACAGTCCCATTCACTTTAACGGGACAGCTGGTGATGCGGCAGTGACACAACAAGGTGAGGGACGTGGCGGGCAGCAGGTGAGTGGATGCCCGCTAACAGGCGCTGCCACGATGGATCTGAAATGACAGGTGCTCTTTAAATGTAAGGACTCATTCTTGCTGGTAGTTAGAATCTTTAATATTATTATTTGCAAACAAAATGAAGGTTTCCTATTTAGAATAAGCTGTCAGGTTAGTAAAACAGCGATATCAGAACCGATTTTAGGTTAATAGGTTAATCACACATAGTTGGAAAAAACTACTCAAATTCTTTTATTTAATTAAAACATTTAGAGTCTGGTATAGATGCATTTCCCTTCAAACAATCATACAGTTCGTAGTGTACATAGATTTGCAAAACAATGGGATAAAGTAATATTCCTGAACTTTGTTTTATGATTTATCTCATGGTTACTGTGAAATTGTGTGAATGCATCAATGTAGTACATGTTATCTCAGCTTACAGAGCTTGGATTCATTGAATGAGTTTACAAAAAATGTAAATATTGCAGAATATACAGCCTCATGCTACATAACTAAGTTCCATTTTATGCTGAATAAACTAAATTATTAATGTGTCTTAAATAAAAAACTATATTTAGATAGATTTTTACTCCAAAAGCATTTTATTAAAATAAATTTGATAAAAATAAAAAAAATTCTGATTTAAATAAAAATTGATGCAGATAAGTTACACATGTAATGCTTATTGTTGCATTACATGTGCAACCTATCTGCGTCATTGGCTAAAGAAGAAGAAAAAGTTCATGCCTTTTGCAGTTCCAATGGTGTGGAGGGAACCCACCAATTCATAGTAGTGACTGCTCTTTTTGCATGGTTCCCCCAATTGCAAAAGGGATCTCAAGAAAGAAGTAGACCATAGCATATCCAAACATTCCATCCGCACTGGTCCTGTACCCCTTATGGTAATGACTTGCCAATTCCTGATCTACCAGAATCCTACTCTCTAGACCAATGGTTCTCAACCTGTGGGTCGGGACCCCATTTGGGGTCGAACGACCATTTCACGGGGGTCGCCAAACAACGCAGTCCGCCACTCTTTTCCCCTTTTCCTTAGCTGTGCTACTCCCTTTTATTCTATTGGCTTTTGAAAGCCAATAGAATAGACTCTCTTGAATAGAGTCTAATTCTATTGGCTTTCAAAAGCCAATAGGAATTGTCCAGGCTGTCTCTGCCCTGCTGAGCCCGCCAAAAGTCCCATTCTGCCAACGGTGCTGCACCAGTTGAGTAGTCCTCGACTTACGACCGGTTGAGTAGTCCTCGACTTACAACCGGTTGGGGGTCATGGCATTAAAAAGGTTGAGAACCACTGCTCTAGACTCCGATGATGATGAAGATGATGAACAGAATGCAGCTGATCCAGGGCCGTTGATGTCAACAGACCCAAACTTTAGCCCACCGTATGCTCCTCCTGAACCACATCTAATTTCACAGAGTGAACTAAGTGACCTAGTCAGGGATATGGAATTGCCTAAGAGTAAGGCAGAATTACTGGGCTCCAGATTACAATGGTGGAACCTTGTCATTTAATCTGATATTAGAGCTTGTCAGTTTTTCATGCAGAAAGCATGAAAATGTTACATGAAAAACCAATAAATGAATGGAAAATTATGTTATTGATATCAATAAAAGATAAATTTATAATGATTGGTGTGGCACCATTCTCATTGCTATATCACATTTTGCAGAAAAGTTATGGAATATAATTGCATATCCCCCTCGTAATTTTGAATTATTTTGTGACCCAATTCTGGTAAAATTAAGCTACTTTCATTTCCGAGACTTTCTCCTTGTAGACCAGTGTTTTCAAGGTTCTGTTATATTATTCAACTACCAATGAAAAACATTCCAGAAATCCAAGGGGTGTTTGGATTTCTGGAATGATCTTCATTGCTAGTTGAACTTGGGGCTGGATAAGTTTCCTGAACTTGCTAGGTGTGAAGACCTTGACAGACAAAAGTATTTTCACCATGATTTAGAATAAACAAGTTCACAAGAACACAAAAAAAAAACCCAAAGTAGATATTGCAATGGACAATATTGAAGTTCACATTCTTATTTCTTGATATTAGGAACAAGAATATTCTTTTAAATGTTATTAATTTTTCTAAGATTGTTAATATTTTTATGTTTTAAGTAGCAAAACACTAGTTCTTTCTGGAGAGGAAAAGAAGTAAATTACAAACTAAATATGGCCAATTAGTATTTCTTAGTATTATCTTCTACAAAATCTTATTTCCCATTCATCTGGAACAGAATCAAGAATTGATTCATCTTAAAATACTGTGGCTGAATTATGTATCAAACTATGCTAGGGTTTTCCAACAAATCATACTGTATTAAGCAATAATGTGAAGTATTGATTAGGTTCATGAATGACCTGAAACAGCCACATTACCACTTAAAATGATGTGTTAACTTAGCTAACTACAGTGGTAGCTTAGTACTCAATTGCTTTGAAACTCACTGAATTTGGTACTCAACGCATTTTGATGCAAAGATTTTGTCCCGGTACTCAACACACAAGCTAGAATTTGGCTGTCTTGTGACTCACTACATCATTCCTTATGAGAAAAATCTGTTTGGTACTCATCATGCCTTCCGGAATCAATTAACAATGAGTACTGAGGTACCACTGTAATTTACACCTTGCTCCAAAAATTGAACAAATTTAGAAGGATTAAGAGGAAGTAACTGGAAGACACTGGATGGTTTAGGAAGAATTAATGTAGTTTATTCTCTTCCCTGCCATTTTTTCCCCTAAGCATCCATAATCTATTAGAGAAACTGGCATCTCCATGACAAACTCACAACTGAATTTAGAATTAAATGGCTTAACAGCTAGTTTTGTTAAAAAAGAATTTCAAATATTTGCAGTTTTTCTTGAGACCATGCACACTATTTAACATCATTGTGGATCTCTCCTGTAAAACAATATTAAGACTTATTAGATTTATATTCCACCTTTTCTCTGGGAGTTCAAAATGGTTTAAAATGAATAATAATAACATGAAAGCAAATTCTTATGAATTCACAGATGGACAAAAAATAGATTGAAAACAGTATACACATATTTATTCAACTTTTTCTTTTTAATTCCATCAGATTCAAGCAAAACCTTAAACTTTGAAATAAAACAATCAATATTGTAAATTTATATTTAAATTACACTGTATTACGAGTTTTGCTGAATTAAACAAAACCAAAAAGTATTAATTAAAACAAAAATGAGGGAAAAAAGTAGAAACTGAGCTCAAACATATAAATACATACATACATGAACCCAAAGTATACTGTTATCAGAAGCTTCCTAATCATAATAATAATAATCCCACCTCTTTTACATGGATGATTTGAAGCTATATGGAAAAACACCAAGTGAAATAGAATCACTGCTCAACACTCTCTGTATATATAGGCAAAATACTGCAATTGAGTTTGGACTGGACAAATGCGACATCCTCACTATCATCAGGGGAAAAATAGTGAAAACTGAAAGAATCAAGATGCCCTATGAAATAACATCAAGAATCTGGATAAAGATGATCACTGGGCATCTTTCAAGCTGACAGTGGAAAGCATACTGAAATGAAGGTTAGAAGTGACTACGGTATATCAAGAAAATGAAGATCTTAAAGTCCAAACTCAGTGAAGAAAGGAAAAAAAGAGCATTTGAAAAATATCTGAAGGACAGTGAAGAAGATGGACTGAAGCTAGTACACCATGAAATCTTACTGAATACTAGAGTGAATGAACTGGCCTACAAAAACAAAACAAACTCCCCCCAAACCCCAAACCAAAGTAGTTAACAATAAGACCTAGCAACGGCTAAGAGCAAGAAAATGGAAGAGACAGAGGAACTAATTCTGGTTACACAACACAAAGCCTTAAGGACAAATGCATATAAAACCAGAAAGCAAATACCATCTCTGTAAAGAAGTTGAAAAAGCAGTGGACCACCTGGTTAGCTGCTGCAAGAATATCACACAGACTGATTATAAAGGAAAGCATGTTAAAATAGCAACAATGCTACTATTTGCCTGCAGACAAGAACTGTTGGGACCACAAAATAGACAGAGTAATAGAAAATGATGCTAAAATGCATGGGATTTTAGAATTCAAACTATTACCGCCACATAACATCCCAGACTTAACAACTGTTGATAAGAAAGACAAAAAGTCTACATAGTAAATATGGCAGTACCTGGAGAATAGCAGGAGAAAGAACTGGAGAAAATCACAAAATACAAAGCCCTGTAAATAGACTGTAGCAAAAGAAAGCAAAGATAGTACCAATAGTAATAGGCACCTTAGATGGAATCCCAAAACAGCTGGAGCAACACTTGAACACCACTTGCATTGACAAAAACAACCTCAGTCAATTACAAAAGGCAGATTTACTTGGAACAGCTTACATCCTGTGGCAATACCTTTAATATTACTGAACAACAACATCTGCCTGTTCCACATCCTTGGGAAGGATTCAATAAGTGGACAAAAATGCTAAATCCAATTTAAACAATTGGTTGACTGTGCAACCAATCCTAATCTAATAAATGTATATGGTGTCAGATTCCCAAAGGCAGTTTACAACTATTGAAAACATTTCAGAAGAAAAAAAAGATCATTCAAAACCCAAAACACATAGAAGAAGAAAATGGGCAGAACAGAACAAGCTAGAACAAGGACAGCAAAGAAAACAAGGGGAGCAAAAAAGAAAAAAGGGTTTGCAATAGTGGCAAATATCTGTAGCTGTGAAGGAGAGGGGCTGAAAGTTCATTCTCTGAGCTTGTGGGTTGGTTTCCGAAGTTTCGTTACCAGGCTACATAACATCTTTGCCTATGTTTGCTTATATGGGAAAAATCCAAATTCCATGCTTGGATATATCTTTATCAAGATCAAATTAACATAAGAAAGTGTACAAGGTTCTGAGTAGTCCATGAAGCTATTTCTTTAAAAAAATGAGAAAGTCCAAAAATTAAGTTAGATGTTTTAAACAATGAAATTTCCAATACAAGATCAGTACCACCATATAATTTGTGCCAACTGAATTATTACTGGCATTAGATTACAGGCATGGAAATTTTTTGGATCCTGTCATTCTTTGGCTGTCATGGCACATTCTCTCTGAGAGTGACTAGTTCAAAGTCATCCAATAAGTTTGCCCCAAAAGGATAGACTTCATCCCAATACATCTAAACCACTACACCATGGTTTGAGTGTACATAAATTGTATACAATGAGTATATGTGAAGAGAATAAAATATAAATAATGCTGACAGTACAAGTGTAACTTTGATTTACAATAGCCAGTTTCTCATAATATGGAACTGACTGGATTTCCAAATTATTTCTAGGAATTTATTATGTAAAACCACTATTTTTTGCAACAGAAATGTAATACCTATTTCAAAAATCTGTTTAAAAGATTTTTTAAAAATGTCTATATATGATTGAATAGGCTTAAATGCTCAAAATGCAGAAAACTTCATAAAAATGCATTACAAGATATATACAGTACCTCCCTCTACTGTATATATTTGAGTCTGATGTATAGATATTGTCTCTTACATTTGCCCATATATTTAGTCCTGTTTCACACTACAAAACACAGATGCTTAAGCAAGTTTAACATGTTTCTTGAATTTTAAAAAGACACACATGCCCTTTGATTCAAAGTACAGATTGTACATGTGTACTGACATAAATAAATCAAATCATAGCTTGTAGCAACTACTGTCAATGACTACACCAACGTATTAACAAACCTGAAAATTAATTCTGAGACTGGTTTGAAGCATTTGATGTAGCCAGCAAAGATCCAATCTATTGTTGACAGACGCCACGAAGAACAATAACACCACCACCACGTATGACCTGGGGCAAACACTACAACAGAGAAAAACTAAAAGTGAAAAAGCTTTTCCCAGCAAATATTCTCCAGTTGGACTGCTATTCTCATCATCCTGAATCAACGCGGAAGCTGCGTGAAGAAACAAGAAGACATAATGGAGGAGAGTTTCCTGCTAAACTCGACAGGATTGGATTGCAACACGAGTGAGCGATTAACGCCGTGAAATTGAGAGAAGTTATTTTTTAAGGTCACTTCATTGGGATGAATGAAGTTCGAGGCCATCTCCACTAGAGAACGGATAACGTCTAGGCGTTCCCCTAAATTCTGCCGCGTCTGCTTTAAAATTAATCGTTATATTAAGATTAATTTACCACTAGATTAGCATGCACTTCCTGTCCCGAACGTTGTTTCAAATCCTCAAACTCCAACTTCTCGTCGCGGTTTTATGTGCCTGGCTTCCTAACATTTAACTTATTCCGGAAAAGGGCTGGAGTGCATTTTCACAACCAGGTTACCACTTTTGCAAAGAGCCGCTCACAGCAATACTGGGACTAGTTTCATACAAAGTATTAGTAAGAGGTGCCTTTGACAAGCAGCACAGGATCTTCTTCAATACCGAGAATCTCCGGACCTCAAGCTAAGATTGGGGGGGGGGGTACGCATACATATTGGACTATCCCATTAGGATCGCAAGCGAGTCCATCGACCCACCAAGGATCTCCAAGCACGGGAAGCCAAGCTGACCTTCCGTCCCTTGGCTCAGAACTGCTAATCCAAGCCTTCTTAAAACTTTCTTACGGCCGCTCCAAAGCAAAGCCCTCTTCCTGGGAACCCCGCCATGTAAGAACAATTTGTTTTCCGTAGATTGCAATACGCTCCTTCCCTCATCTGTCCACTCACCCGCCGACTGGGCGCCCGTTAATAACCCCGAACCCACCTTCTTTTTGCCTTTACAGGCGGCTTCGGGACTTCAACTAGTCCTTACAGCTGGAACACTTTGGAAAAGCACGCTCTGCGCAAGCGTCATTCCAAAAATCAACTCCACCCTATAATTCCTAATGGTGGAGAACGAAAGAAAGCCAAGCTGTATGGGAGGAAAAACTGTGCGAGAAGAGGCCGTAGCCCCGCCCCCGTTTATTCTGATTGTTTCAGTACAGTAACCCCTCCCCTGTTCTTTCCGTTCTCCCCATATAAGATAAGTTTGTGTTTCCAGTTCAGTTAAGGGTACAAGGCAGCGGGAATGGTTTCAGAGTTTAGGCAAAGAACTGAGTTACTTTCCCTACAAGATAGTTTTCCAAAAACTCAGCTAAAATACTAGCAAATACTTCCTCAGTTTTACTCCTGGAAAGTCTGCAGGACTCATGATAGGAATTGGTATATAAGTGATCTGACTGAGGGAAAGAATGTTTTAAGATACAGGTAGTCTTTGACTTACAACAGTTCCTTTAGTGGCCAAAGTTAAAATGACGTAAAAAAGTGACTTGACTTTTTCACACTTATGACCGTTGCAGCATCCCCATGATAACATGATCAAAATTCAGACACTTGGCAACTGGGTAATATTTATGATGGTTGCAGTGTCTGGGAGTCATGTGACCACCTTTTCCGACCTTCTGAAAAGCAAAGTCAATGGGGAAGCCAGATTCACTTAACAACCATGGTACTAACTTAATAACTGCAGTGATTCACTTAACAACTGTGGCAAGAAATGTCAGAAAATGGGGCAAAATCCATTTAACAACTGTTTTGCTTAGCAAATCCATTTTGGGCTCAATTGTGGTCATAAGTTGAGGATTACCTGTATTTTTTTCTGAACAGTACAGCCTCAATTATTCTTATGGCCAGCATTTTAAATAGTATCTCACTCAGGAAAAACCTTTAGGACAGTTTAATTGTTATGTAAGGCCAATTTTGTGAAACTAACAGCCCTTCTAAAGTTGATTAAAATTACCTAAAAACTTTACTTAGACATCAAACAATGCTTAGTTACACTAGAAAAATTTGGGTATATTATATATTTTGAGTGTTAATAGTTAAACCATTTTTTAGCTTACACTACAGCTTTAGCATGTTTTCTAAATAATTCCAAAGAAGGATACAATAGATCAATGAAATCATACAAAAATCAAGCTAAAACGATAAAAGACAATGGCAATACTTTTAAGGCTGTTCCCACTTTAACCTAATCACTGCAAAAACCTATCCTAGCAAATGTTGTTTTCTGAGGTGTCCCATTATATTGGAATTTATCTTGTCTCAGCCCATGAATAACAAAGTTTAAATTGTTCTTAGTCTGTTAATCATTTCCCACTTTTTCTGACACCACTTAAGGGCAGCCTCAACATGTTCAACATCTGTTTGTCATTCATTCCTCAGATGGAAGTCAGGTGACTGGCAGTGACAAGAAAGAGGTGTATAGGGATCAGCTATAGAGACAGCAAATTACATGCCCTATAGTTTTCTGGGCACTTAAGGATGGGTGGAGAATGCTATACCTTAATTGTGGGGAAAGGCCCCATATGACACACTATCTTAGTTGAATCAAGGTAGTGTGATCAGTTAACTAAATCTGTGCTAATGGTAAATAGACAGGAATTGTGTAACCTGGAGGTTTGCATCACATATGAACTCATAAGATGCTGCATAGTCGATGTATGGCAGGTGATACATGTTGATTTTTAATTCTGGTCATGCAAAAAGTTTGTGTGACTCAGAATGATCCAGATCCATGGAAATAAGGCTTTATATTTTATGACAAACATCTTGAATTTGGCTTAGTAACACTGAGGTAGCAGATGGGTTTTTAAAATGTTTGCAAAAATCACCCTAGTAAATTTTTGGCATTTTATTGTTAATGAGCTTCACATTTTTCTTGACCTGGGCTTACCAGCATGGCCCTCAGTGGCTGTTTTAGTTCTTTATACTCTAAGCCCATATTTGGAATACCAGTGACAGTATCTATACAGCCTGTATTTTGCTGGCTTTTCCCCCCTTTGTCTTCATTATTCCAAATGTCAGGGTCTTTTTTGAATGATGTGTCCAAGATACCATACAAAGTTCTAAATGAATAATTTATAATAAAAATTCTGCTTCAGGAATGGCACCACACAGCCTCCCTGCTGCATAGTGAGGCCAAGGGGAGGATTGCTTGCTCTCCTTCCCAAATTTCTTGGGTTTGGGGAGGAGGGTGTGTGTGTGAGGGGGGGAGGATGTGCTTCAAGGAGTAGGATAGGTCCTGAGAAACTCAGGCCAGAGATGTGTGAGATGAGAAGGTGCTACACTGTCTGGGCCTGTGTTAAGCTTCCCCATCCCTGAGGCACCTCATGCTCCACTTAGCAACCCATGCAGTTGCTTAACAGTTTCCACAGGGAGAGCAGGGATTGGGATCATTAAGCAAGATGATCATATGGGCACCTCACTTAATAAATGTCATTACTTGTGGCTGTAATGGGCAGGCTCCTTTACGGTTATTAGTTGAGGACTACTTGTAAGTGCTACAGAACAAAAAACAAGGAAGAGGACGTGCAAATGAATAGCAAGATCTATCTGGCAACATGGACGTAGGAGACTCAGGTGGTTCTTCCCCAATCTTCCTCTCTGCAGTATAGGCTGAAATAAAACACCTGAATCAAAGAAGTATTAAGTAATTAGTAGTTTTGTTAGGTAGAATGTATTTGCCTTCCCATATTTTCATTAGAGTCCCATTTTCTAAATAAACTACTTCTTACATCTTAAGGCTTGGTTTGACTGCTTTTAGAAATTAATTTCTCATTAAAACTTTCCAAGCCTATGTGGTTACACAGCCACCTCAAAAACACATTTCTTTTTAGATTTCCTAAAGTTCAGCTGAAGGGTGAAGTCCAGCCTATAAAGCTTAAGAACTCTTCAGCCGAACAGAAAAGGAGTGTAAGGCAACCTTTTGTAATTATTGTATTATGGGGAAACTTTGCACAAAGAGGTCCGCCAGGGAAGTTTTCAACTTTTAAAGCGTCAATTTAAAATTTCTCCAGTAAGAATTGTAAGACAGTCCAGAAGATTTAAGCTCAAAAGACAGCAATAAAACTATACTTCCAAATTAACAACAACAAACGTACCCTACAGAATAGAAAAGTAATAGAGTAAAGATGAATGGGAAGGTTCTAGAAAAGTTTAAAATTTTCTATTCAGCAACAGGCTCACTGAGCATGTGCAAGAAAACCTGAGTACGTGCCTGGAACTAAGTAAAGAATGTCCGCATGTAGAGAACAAAAGAATACCCATATATGGTAAGGTAGGAGGTAAGATAGAATAATTGTGTCGTCTGATAGGTTTGTGACCTGCCACGTCAGGAATAGCTGACGTAGGTATAGGAGGAGATAGGGAGGGGTATAACTGCTGTTACGCTTCTGTAGGAGGTGTGGCTTTTCCCTGCAACTCTTGGGAGTGCATGGTTAAGTTTCACCACGCTTTGCAAACCGTTTTCTTTTACTAAACTCAACTTTGATAATAAAAGAAACTTTATTCTGCTACTCCGAACCTCGTCTCTGAATTTCTTTCAAGGAATTCTACAAACAAATTGGGGGCTCGACCGGGATCCAATCTGCGCTGGGACTCTGAGGGGTCCTCCTTAGGTGCACCCCTTTCCTTTTGAAAGGAGGGGAACCACCCAGAGGACTGCGGAGCTCTTGGAAAACCCGTAAAATTTTAATAAAGACGAGTATTAGGAGAAGGGTGAATAAAGTGCGGAACAGCCTGAAGACAGACCGGGTAACATCTGCGCGCAGACCCTGGTGAGTACTGGTTTGAAAACACCAGAACACAAGAGTCCAGGGCGGTCGGGATAGAGTGTGTGGATGTGAGAACTGGCAACGGGGCCGGGTGGAAGTCCTTTTGAGGGACCTCGGGGAGGTCTGCAGGACGGAGTGAGTGAAGGGGATATTATTGAATATCCGGAGACGGTGACGTGTGGAATTGAGAAGGAGTTGCTGGGAGGGACATAGGCACACATACTCAAGATAGGCTGAGCACCCATAAAAGAAATGGGGGGCAATACAGGGTCGACCAATCCGGGGAAAAAGTGTGTTAAAAGGATCCGTAAAAACCCCAAACTTAAAATCGACCCGAATGGCCCTTTGGGCAAAATATTGGCTGGATGGGGATCCCCGCCCTATAACCGGGAGATTTTGAGGTTGGGGTTGAATAAAGAAGATATGGTCAATTTATGTTGTTTTGTTTGGTGGGAGGACGATAATGTGGAGTGGCCAAGGAATGGCTCCACAGATTATTTTCAGTGTCACAATTTATATAACTATGTGAAGAAAAATAAATGTAAGAGTTTAGATAATGAATTAGATTATGCGCTAATTTGGGTGACAGATGATGGTAGCAACAGAACAGCAAGTAATGAAGCAGGAAAAACCTCCTAGAAGAGAGTTTGGGGATAAGAAGAGTCCCTTTGAGACAAGATATAGGGGGGATGAAAGGAACCAGTATGTTAATGGGAGTAGAGGAAGGGGATTTGGAGGATTTCAAGGTGGATACCAGAATAAGGAGACAACGTGCTTTGGATGTGGAATGAAGGGCCACTTTAAAAAAAAAAAAAAAAAATTGCCCTAAACGCGCGAGAGAACAGCAAGTTTACTCAGTGTGGGAAGAAGAGGATAGTTTTTACTAGGGGAGGGAAAGGAGCTCATTGGCTTTTGAACAGCTCCTTGAAATAATAATAATAGTTATTGATTTGTCAAGAGAAAGTATGAAATGAAATATCCCTATATGAAAGTGTTTATACAAGCAGTTTGAATGGAAGTGAATGTATGGATATGCTGATCCTGTCTCTCTCTCTCTCTCTCTGTGTGTGTGTGTGTGTGAGTGAGTTTCTCCCCCATTTAAACTGCAGGTTTTATTGTTTTAGCAAGTGTTTGCATGAGAAGAGTTCCATGGAGAATGTGAGAGAATTTATGGCAAATTCATGTGAAGGAGAGAAAGCTATTCCTCCCCCTTCGTTTTCAGCTGGCTGTGTTGCTTTAAGAGTGAGAGACAGAAAGAAAAGGGGGGGGGCTGCTCATTTTAACTTTTTTTCTCCGCTTGGAATTCTGCTTTGGGAGGAAGGTGGGGTGGATGTGAAATTTAATACCCATTCTTATAGTAATGAAATATGAGAAGAACTTGAATACACCTATACTGTAGTTTTATTTTTATGTTTTTATGTCTGTGTGCAGGACACACTGATAAAAACATAATATCTAGGAGACCTGAAGGAATGGTAATTCAACCCTTGTTTAAAACGAAGGAGTTGAGAAAATTTTGGGATTATAAATGAGCTATGTTTTGAATAAAGATTTGTATGCAAACAAACTCAAGCAGAGTTGGTGAGCGCTCCTTTGTTGGCTCTTTACTAAGCAATGTGTTTGTAAATACGGATAAAAGAAATGGCTAGGGGAGGGATAATTGATACTTTTCTATGGTTAATATATGGTTGGTTATATGATATGTAGACAAATACATAAAATGCTCTAT